AAAGTATTTGTTCACTGATTGATGAACATAATTGAATCAACAATATGCACACCATATTTTTGAGTACAGCGATGATTCACTCATTTTATTATATAAATATATCAAACTACACACTATTGAATAATATTACAGCAAAAAAACTACAAAAAATCAATCAGAGACATTGAAATAATTAGGTAATTATCTCTTTGTGGCAATTCCAGCCTGACAGCTGGCGATCAACAGACCGCCTGGGACGCATGCTGAGTCAGCGCCTGTTTTTTGCCAGACTTCCCCGCCCTATAGCGGGCAATATATGCCACTTACGATTTTTTTATTATTTTTCCCATGATCAGTGAACACAAATTAACAGATTAGCAAGAAAATTTATTTATTTATTTTTTTTTTCAAAATTACATGTGCCTGTGGGGAACAAAGGATATTATACCCCTAGCATGTTAAGGGTTAATCTCAATTAGTATTAGGTTTTAGTCTTGGTGTTTTTCCTGCCCGAAACGCTTTGCATAATAGTGGCTTTAGGCATTGTATGTACTAGCTCTATCTATAAATCCATCAACTTTTGTATCTCACCTTGTATGTACGTACCTTACCTGAATAAATATTTGTATTTGTTTTGTATTTGTTTGTCTATTTTCACCTCTTACTCATTGCCATTATACCTTCTACAGTTTTTTATTCCGACTAACTCCTACGGTATATTTCTTATCTTCTCATCTTTCACTTTAACATTCTTACATTATAAATTGACTGCCATTATAAATAAAACTGCCACTCTTTCTTTACATGACTTGATAATGGTCCAGGATGGACAGAATCACCACCACTTCCCTATTTTCAGATGTGTGGGTTGGGCATCCAATTTTCAGACACATTATTGTGACTTGCAGTCCCTTCACTTGTGAGGCAACCACATATACAGCTATTTCCAAGATATTTTAAAGACCCTGGAGGTAAAACCTTAAATTTAAGAAACTTTGAAATAAATACTGAATTATGTCACTTGCTAGATTTTTACCAATTCCGCCATGACATTCCACCATGCACTATTAAATCCACGCATTACACTGATATAAGTTTTCCAACATTCAAAGATCCACTCAATATACTTTACCTGCTTGTAATCCATTCTTTACATTCTCTCTACCATTGCTCCACTAAAATATCATACTTAACACACTTTATCATCATCAGAATGTGGATGCTCTTCACAAAAAGGAGCAAAATAATTAATCTCAAATATTTTATCTTCCTTCTTTTGGTGGAGCTGATGCTGTGAATTATTTACTGGAGTGTGGTGGTGTTTGTTCACCTGTGATGTTCACCTGTACTGTACAGTCTAAAATATGGTGAATAGAGGAGACAACTTTCGTAATGGCTTTAACAATCATTTTCCCGTACTGCTTCCCTATCTATCTTCAGTTTATTCTCTCCCTACCCAATAAAAATGAGAACAATTTTAATAGTGTAATAACAACAATATTAGAGGAGAACATACCAGACAGGTCTCAAAAAGGTATAGCCTATTGAATGTAAAATATGCTATAAAGACAGTTGGATAAAGTTTCAGAATACTTTTTTGTCACCATCCTCTTATATGCAATTTTTTTAAGTAAATGATGCATAATCCAGTTCAGTATTTACAGACAACTCAACACTGACTTAATAAAAAAGGTAATTATAAAGAGTATTAACACTTTCGCGCTTTAGATTAGAGATAACTCGTCGCCGTTTTCTCTTACGATTCCGCATAACAGCCTACTTTTCTTGTCCATCGAAAAAATATTTCTATAAATTCCATTTTTTAACCGAAATGGATGGGGATACTTTTGTTTTGTAGAGAATTTATTTCCGAATGTTTTGATACCAGAATGAATATTATATCACATAAACTTCTATGAGTAAAAAAAAAAAATACACAAAGTATGTTTGGGGGTGTGGCGAGCATGTGGCAGTGGGTTCCCTTTAGCCGTTGATATATCCAACACATGGGAAATATTTGTATGTGTTATGTATATGTCTGTGTAGGGAATTTTACTGCGATCACTGTCATACAAATTATAAAATGTTTCAACAAGTATAAACATGACAAACATCAAACGAACGAAAACAATGCGTTCGTTTCTGCAGCGAACACATACTGAGCGACGTGGTTCTATATTTGGCACTTCTCTTACACATGCTTTGTACAAATGTTATACAGTTCATCTTATAGAAAATTTTATTGCGAACACATTGGTATAAAAAAGAAATACGTACATAGAAAAGTAGGGTCAGGAAACGTATAAACTTTCCAAGCATGATTTCCCCCCTGTGTTTTCGCCAGTGCGCTCGCGGCTAACTACTCTCCACTTCACACACTCTTGCGGGTGGGCAATTACCTATATTAAACATTCATATGCATATGTCCGTGTAGAGAATTTTATTGCGATTCCAATGTTACCAAAATTAGCGATGTAGGACAACTGTAGGCTTCGCAACCATTAAGAGAGTGGAAACATTTTGTTGCTGTTTGGCGCTCTCGGCGAGTGATATGCATAGTTTTTTATTTGGTGTTGATACTCCTTATGCTTGGGCGGCATTTTATAGGTATGCTCTTATAGACAATTTCATTGCGAACACAGTGATACCAAATTTAAATACGTGCACCTTCAATTATTGTCAGGACAGTCAAAAGAGTGTACACTTTTCGGTCTTACCGCGTAGGCGCGCGAAGTGCCGAAAGCATCTGGGGTATTGTTTTTTTTTGAGCGCCGAGAGCGCGAAAGTGTTAATAATCAACATGAAACCCATTATAAAATACACAAACATACAAAAGAAATGAAAATGTGGAAACTCGGGAAGATACTGTAACACACTTAACACTTTCGCGCTTTGGGCGAGCGAGCATTTCTCCTACCCTAGTGGTTTTGGACGTTCCGCGGGAGCTCGCGGGAGCGCACGGTAATACTGAAAAGTGTATACTCTTTTCAACTTTGTCACCTTAATTCTCGTCCTAGGTTTTCCAATTTGATATCAATGTATTCGCAATAGAATTCTCTACACGATTAAATGCATATAAAGTCCGAAAGCCCAGCTTACCACCCGCAGCAAACAGAGAAAGTGAGAGAAAGTTACCCAAGAGTGCACAAGAGCGATAAAATGTGTACATTCTTTTCACTTTGGTCACCTCAATTTTCGTCCTAGGTCTTTCATTTTGGTATGAATGTGTTCACAGTAAAATTCCCAACAAAAGTTTATGCATATAATGTCAAAAACCGTGGCATGCTCCACCCGCCGACGTGATGAAAGCAGGTGATGAAAGCAGGGTGGAGGGCTGGGCCGTCCATTAGAGAGCGTGGTAATACTGAGAAGGGTATACCCTGGAAACACAAACCGAAACTGTCTCTATTTTCCGCTTGTTACAACTTGTAATAAAGTTGTTACATCTTGGCTTAATGTGTTTATGACGTATTAGAACGTTGTTACAACTTGCTATATTGGTTGTTATAACTGGTTAGGTGGTGTTAAAACTTGTTCGAACGTTGTACCAACGTCGTAGTTTTGGTGTGTGTTTGGCGGGTACTCTCTTCAACGTTGTCATCTCAATTCTCATCCTAGGTTATCCAATTTGATATCAATGTGTTCTCAATAGAATTCTCCACACGATTAAATGCATATAAAGTCTGAAAGCCTAGCATATCACCTGCACAAAACAGAGAAATTGAGAGCAAGTTACCCGGGAGCGCTAAAGAGCAATGTAATGTGTACACTCTTTTCACTTTGGTCACCTCAATTCTCGTCTTCGGTCTTTCATTTTTATATCATTGTGTTCGCAATAGATTCTCTACAGGAATATATGCATATATAAAGTCCAAATGCATGGCGTACCACCTACAGCAAACAGAGAAAGTGACCGCGCGTTACCCCAGTGAGCGCTAATAAAGAACAATAAAATGGGTTTGCTTTTTTCAACTTTGTTACCTCAATTCTGGTCCTAGGTCTTTCATTTTGGTATCAATGAATTCGCAATCTTGAGGTTATCTTGAGATGATTTCGGGGCTTTAGTGTCTCCGCGGCCCGGTCCTCGACCAGGCCTCCACCCCCAGGAAGCAGCCCGTGACAGCTGACTAAAACCCAGGTACCTATTTTACTGCTAGGCAACAGGGGCATAGGGTGAAAGAAACTCTGCCCATTGTTTCTCGCCGGCGCCCGGGATCGAACCCAGGACCACAAGTCCAGCGTGCTGTCCGCTCGGCGGTCCGGCTCAATGAAATTCCCTACGTATGTGCATATAAAGCCCAAAAGAACGGCAAGAAAGTGAGAGCAAGTTACCCGGGAGCGCTAAGGAGCAATAAAACGTGTACACTCCCTCTTCACATTGGACATCTCAATTCTCGTCCTAGGTCTTTCATCTTGGTATCATTGTGTTCGCAGTAGAATTTCCCACACGATTAAATGCATGTGAAGTCCAAAAGCACAGCATACCATCCGCAGCAGAGAAAGTGACAGAGCGTTACCCCAGTGAGCGCTAATAAAGAATAATAAAATAAGTTTGCTCTTTTCAACTTTGTTACCTCAATTCTAGTCCTAGGTCTTTCATTCTGGTATCAATGGATTCGCAATGAAATTCCCTGTAAGGGGTATATGCATATAATGTCCAAAACCGCAGTGAAAGCAGGCCAATTTTTTTTGTTTTTTTGACTCCATACTTCGTCATCAGTGGGTATTAAAAAGTAAAATTTTGACTCCATACTTCGTCATCGGTGGGGAAAAGTGTTAAGAAAAGCATTTTCTTAAGAAAATGCTGTAAATCTACTAAGGTTTACATCATTTACACTAATACTTTAGTGTAAATGTTAATACACACCATGAAAGCAGCAATAGAGGAAACTTTCTCTAACAATAATGCTGCCCTAAGTGATTAATAGCCTTTTAAAATCCTGAAAACATTTTATATACCCTGCCCACACATCAAGCCATTAGCAAATTATATAGTTTCAAAATTTTTATATTTCACTAACCCTCAAGCCAAAAATTTAGGACCGTTTGTCTGAGAGCAGCATCCTCTTCTCTCACAGCACGTAGCAGAATGCCACGGGCTTCTGACTCTAGTTGTCTGCCTTCCTCATTAGTGCAGTCACTGAGGGCAAAAATGCAATTTGTTAGTTATTACAGAGTAGTAATAGACTGTTGGCACCAGTAAAAAAAAAAAAATAGTGGCTGTCAAAATCATCAGTAGTTTCAAAACATATATGAAAAGAGTGCTGGGAAGACAAGACACCATGAGTGGTGCTCTCATCCCATAACTACACTTAGGTAATTACACACACAGACACACACACATACACCTGGCTGCTCATTCCTGGGCCACCTCGCATACTCCTAAATTTAAATCCCTGTTTGGTCAGCAGGCATGGATAGGATTCTCTTATAAATTAGTGTTGCTGTAACTGTTTAGGAACTTTCCTCTTTGCAAGTGGAAAGAGCACGCAAAGAGCTTAAAGCTCTTTGCGTATCTGATTATTATCCAGACTGTACTTCTTCGAGGTTAAGTATCAGTGGTGTGTAGCAGTGGATTTGGTCTGTGAACTTATACTGTACTGTACTGACACTGGGATGTAAACAAGGTATTAAAATAAATAGTTAAATTTACCCTTGCTGCCTTACTCCAAAACCTGAGAAAGCCTGGTGTCTATGGCTCAAGTTTATTAAGATGCCTGACCAAACCTTGTTGCTCTGTGGGCTAGGAAAAGACTGGTGACCCACACTAACAAATAATTTTTACCAACTTGACCAAGGCTTGGCCTGTAGGATACAAATATTGGTAAACGCCCACTCGAAGGTGAAGTCATGGTTGATCATACTCTGTGCATAGTAACTAAAGGTTTAACTTTGTTTTAATGCTCCTGGTAAACCCAGGAGCAACCATGACTTCACCTTTGAGTGGATGTGTACCAATATTTGTATCCTATAGACGGTTGGAACAAGTTAGGTGAGAAGGTGGTGGAGGCCAAGACCGTCAGTACTGTAGTTTCAAAGCGTTATATGACTAAGAGTGTTGGGAAGACGGGACACCACGAGCGTAGCTCTCATCCTGTAACTACACTTAGGTAATTACACCATCCCCAAAACCAGAAAGCAATTTTCTTGTTTGTACCAAAGAAAAGGAGAACACATCCAGAGAAGTGGAAACACATTCGAGAAGCCAGGGCACAGTTAAAGAAGCTCAACACAAACCTGGAAACCCAATTGAAACAAGCACAGTGAAACCATTTAAGGACACAGAATAAACCTACCTAAAAACTTAAGAGAACCAACCAGAAGGCCCAGAATCTCACCTAGGAAATCAAAGAGCGAGAATCAGGGGACATATGTGAAATGCAGAGGCACACAACCAGAGGAAGCCTCTTTGGTAATGCACCTAGAGGATAAGAGGAACTGAAAACAATGCCTGATGCACAAGGCACACCCATAGAGCTAGAAAAACAACTAGGAACCTGGAGCTTTTTCACAGAAATGTAAAAAATTGAGAAATTGGGAATCCAGCTGCAGTAGCTAGTAATTATAGTAGAGAATTTTCAGAGATTTGACTAACACTTCAATTATTTCTTGTTTTAGTGATAGATGGAAATTTATCACCTCTTTTTCTTCCCAAATGATGTATCAAAACCACTTGCAAAGTTATTTATCCCTATGGAATGCAGGTCAACATAGCCTGCTCTTGAGCAACAAAAAACCAGCGTTGAATGTAATAAAACGCCATTTTCTGGGCAAGACCCGGAGGCCCCCCAAGAGCTATTCAGGCTGATATTGCTAATGTCAAACTTTGGCATCAGTCATGTGTATGGAGCTCTTAGGCCTACCGGGGACCACAAGCCAGAACCTTGACCCCTCAGAGAGGCACGAGGAGCAATGGCCTATAGAAACCCCCATATGGTTGGAAGCATTCTGTGTCTGCCATCGACCGGGTCAGGCACCCAGAAAGGTAAGGTCCCAAAACAAACTCCTATTCTGGTTAAGAAATTGCTACCGAGAGGCAAACTAGTGGACAGAACTCCCCAAACAAAAACAAGCTGACGAGCATGACATCACCACGTTGCCACACCGCCATCTACGCAGCTTCCCTCTCCTCAGAAGGGGAAAGGGGGAGCCCCAGACCCTTCGTGCCAGCTACTCAAGAAACCAGTTCTGAGGCTAGTTATCAAAAGATGCAAAAAAACTCCGACCGGAGGAAGGGAAGGTTGCTGGGGAGCCTCCGGGTCTCACCCAGAAAATGGCGTTTCATTACATTCAACGCTGGTTTTCTGGGGAAAGCCCCATCGATTCCCCGGAGCTACATACCAAAAGACGAAAACCAGAGGGACCTACCCGGGAGGTAGTCGTCGCTCACTTCCCAACTCGAAGTGGAGACAAATGGCTGCAACTGCTAGCCCAGCAACTGCCAAATGGCTGCAACTGCCAGCCTTGTCGGGCCTGTGTGGCCCGACAAGGCCCAGTAACATCAACAAAGGAACGCGTAGCTAATCTACGAACTTCGTGGACACGGGGAAAGACTGCAGGCTGGCTGGACCACTCCACCCCACAGACAATCTGAGAAAGCCGCACCCTGGAACAGGGAAGAAGGGAAACCGGAGCAACCCAAAGTGTGACCCCGGTCACGGCAGCTGTGACACGCAAAGAATGGCAAAGCGCCACAACCGAACAGAACACATGATGCACCCCTGGCCAGACCAACCAAGCACCAACAATCCAAGGACCCCTCTGAAAAGCAGCCATGACAGTCTTCGCCAGAAAAGAAGGAGACGGCTGCAAGTGAACAAACCAATCACGAGGCCCAAAAGAGCAGAAACCCTGGCGCCAGAGGAGAGCATGAAACACCCCAACCCGACCCTCAGAGGCCAATGCCAACAAAAAATGAACCTCGGAAAACAATCCAGAACCAAAGGGGCCACAACAAACCGAGAAGAGAAAAGACCACCCAATCCAAGAACCAGGACAGCTCAAGCGGTGCAAGAGCAGGCTGGGGGTGAACCACACCAGAGACAGCTTGCGAACTGGTGCAGAGGGAACACCAAAACCGGAGCAACCTGGAGCGGCTCCACCAGCACCGCACGAGAAGGCGACAGCATGTGGCAAGATGATGGTCCTGAACCTCCACAAGAGAAGGACAAGACCACACCAACAGAACGCAACAAACCTACGAAGGGACAAAAAGAAAAAGGAAGGACCGCCGCCAAGACGAAGCAAGCAGGTTGGACACCATCAACGAAACCACCTGAACACCAGCAAATGGTGAGAGACTCGAGACAGAACCGAACCAGCCCGGCCATGGACCGATCGAGCATTGGAAGAGGCGGAGCCGCGGGAAAATCTCGAGTGCGAACACCGAGCAAGTAGAGCTGGAAACCCAAGCCGGCAAGGTACCAGATGGAACGCTGATGTACAGAAAAACTTCCCAATGCTAGCATGCTCATCAGGTGATCGGAGACACTGTGATTCCGATGCGAGACTCTTGAGAAGTGACATCGTGAGATACCAGATGGAACCAGATGGAACCAGATGGTACCAGATGGAACGCTGATGTACAGAAAAACTTCCCAATGCTAGCATGCTCATCAGGTGATCGGAGACACTGTGATTCCGATGCGAGACTCTTGAGAAGTGACATCGTGAGATCAAGAAAATGCCAACTGGCAGGGTAAACCTGGAAACCAGAAACCCAAACCCGGCAAGCCGGGAAAGAACCAACCCGGGCGAGCACACACACCCTGCCCGGGAGGAACCACCCGGGACCCCTGAAGGACCAACAAGTCTGAGAACAGATGACAACTAGAAGCCGCCAGCAGAAGAAACGCTGAACTGTAGACGCCACAAACAGCAAGGACAAAATTGCGATGAAAAACAAAGAGCCAGGGCCAAGGCCAAAACCAACAAGGAAGCGAGCACCGCGAGCCGAAACTCAAAACGAAAAACAAGGACACCGCATCCCACAGGAGCGGCGAACGCAGCTTCAGCAGGGCAGAACGAAGCACGCGATGCCAAGTAAGGTATGATGACAACAAACCAGTATATGAACAGAACGAAAACAAAAATGCACTGCCCAAAAGTGAACACAAAGGAAAAGGCAAAAGCCAGGGCCTGAAACCTAGCACCTCCCGGCCCAACGAAAAGAAACTGCATGGGCAGGAGGGGAGGAACGGAAGTTACATCCACCTGCATACAGGGCAACCCAGAAGCTGTAAGTGCCAAACAAGGAGAAGATGAAAACCCCAACCGAACACAGGGGCAATGCAAAAGCAGGAACTGAACATGGACAAAGTCCAACCTAGCATTAGTAGAGCCAAGAAGCACATATTAAAACACACAGTAATGTGTAGTAAAGAATGAGGAAAATGCAAGAAAAAGACCAGAAAGACAGTCCAAGCACCAGCAACTAAGGACAAGAGTAGAGAAGCAATATGAGGAATGAAGAAGACAGGCAGCAATCTGGAATGAAACAGACATGACCTACACACAGAGAGTCCAACATACTGTATATGGAAAGGCTCAGCCAGGCACTGCACGACAGTTAAGGAATGAGTGTCATGAGGGAAGAAAAGACTCAGGCACGGAAAGACTAAAGAAAGACCTCCAAAGATGGGGCTGTGCCCAACCGTGTAACAAACACAGACAAGAGAAGTCATGGGAAGAAGCACTCAATTGGCCAAACAAAACACCACAACCAATCCCCTAAAACTCATCCAAAAACCATGAACCAATGCCTGGCCAAAAAGGGACCCAGACCGCATAAGCGCACCTGCAGAGCGTGGGCACTAACGTGTCATGACACATCTTAGCAGAGAATATTCCGGTAGCATACCTAGGGGAATAAGGCCAGAGCTGCATGTGCAGGAGAAGAGAAGGGTAGAGGCGAAGGCCCAGCCTCACATGAAAAAGCCAGGGCAGCCGGAGAAATACTAAGGAAGGGAGCCCACTGGCAGACTCATACGTCACGGCTGGAGGAACAGGCTCAAATGCCTCCATCGCTTCCCTGGAAGGGGAAATCCCAGAGACCACCCGAGTCTCACGACCATTGAAACCCCGCCCCGACCCTGAACCTACAGATGGTGCGGATTCGAATGCAGGGAGAAAGGGGGCGGGGTGGGCCAGACTAAATCACAATAAGGAAAAGACAAGGGGGCGCGGACTGAAACAAAACCTTAGCAACCAACACCCCCCCAGCCCTGTTACAACAACCAAAACGGGGCAGCCTCGGGGCTTCCAGGGAGCAAACAACCTAGTGCGTAGCAACCACCTGAACCAACGTGCAGCGCTTGTGCTGCCTGCACCCGTATATTCAGCATAGGACAGGGTACCTGAGTCACAAAAACCAAAACTCGCAGGACTCCGGGTCGAAGGTGCCACCGACCCAACAGGCAGCTGATGGAGGCAAAAACAGTGCGAGTCACCCTGAGAGAAGAGGACGAGCAACCCTCGAACTCGCACAAAGCGAGGGGGAGGGGACTCAGGGGTCACAGCTATCGAACCCGCACGACCCCGTGAGGATTCCCAGGGTCCCGAGATGGAACTCACACTCAGGGAAGTCCAGGCAGGGTACTGCTAACCAGCGCCCAAGTCTACCAAACAACTTTCAAAGAACTGAACCCCCAGGATGTGTACACTCACAGGGACCAAGCAGGGGGGGGGGTGCCACCAGAAAAAGAGTACTCGGTACACAGAAGGCAAGAACCAAGGCAAACCCCCACCCCCCTCAGGCAGGTAAACAAACAAAAAAAAACGCAGGAGGACAGCGTACCCAGGCAAAACAGAGCCGGCTGCTATGAATGGTGAAAACAAGCTACGCAGTACCTTGCACCCTTTACCAGTGCAAACTGCTCTCTACCCTAAGGCGAACAAGGGAAAGGGAACACCCAAGCACACAAAGGGAAGCCGAAAACCGAGCAGTAAACGGACAAGCAGAGGCAGAACCCAAGGAACCTGTGGAATGTGGCCCCCAAGCCCCAAGGGCAGTACTTATAGGGCACCTAGGGAAGGTAACCCCTAGGTGCATTCAGCCCGAGTACTGAAGAATCACTCCTGGCTCACACACCCCTTATGAGACAGCCACCACACCACAAGGCACAGAGCCGAGACCAAGATTGGAGTCAGAGCACACACCGTCTGCCTGGCACATCAGCTTCAGAACTGGGGTCTTGGGTAGCCAGCACAAGGGGTCTGGGGCTCCCCCTTCCCCCTCCCGGGAAGAGGGGAGCTGTGCAAACAGCGGTGCGGCGACGTGGTGACGTTATGTTCGTTAGCTTGTTTTTGTTTGGAGAGTTCTGTCCACTACTTCGGCTCTCAATAGCAATTTCTTAACCAAAATAGGGATTTGTTTTGGGATGCTTACCTTTCTGGGTGCCTGACCCGGTTGATGGCAGATATAGAGTGCTTCCAACTACATGGCAGTTTCTATAGGCCATTGCTCCTCGTGCCTCTCTTAGGGGGCCAGGTTCTGGCTCATGGTCCCCGGTAGGCCTGAGAACTCCATACACATGACTGATTCCAAAGTTTGACATTAGCAATATCAGCCAGGATAGCTCTGGGGAGCCGAAGGGGCTTCCCCCAGAAAGTAGAGTTTTAGAGTTTTTTGGAACATTACCATATTTATCCTACACTCTGTACCCTAATGCTCGATTTGGTTAGGTTTTGCATCATCCAGATTTTATGGTTATGTTGCACATAAATTGAGGGCTGTCTGTAATGTAACACTACAAAATTTGACACTATTACAGTTCTGCATGTATATCAAGCAAATACTGTTACACATTTTTTTTTTTTTTTTTTTTTTTTTTGATATATACACAAGAGTTGATACATTCTTGTACAGCCACTAGTACACATAGCGTTTCGGGCAGGTCCCTGGAATACGATCCCCGCTGTGAAGAATCATTGTTACAACCAAGTACCCATTTTACTGTCGAGTTAAACAGACGCTACAGTTAAGGAATTGCGCCCAGTAAATCCTCCCCGGCCAGGATACAAACCCATGACAAAGCGCTTGCGGAATGCCAGGCGAGTGTCTTACTACTACACCACGGAGACTGGTATTTCTTCTTAAATACCAGTCTGACTGGTATTTAAGATACGGAGACTGGAGACTGGATTTCTTCTTAAATATACCGTACAGTATATTAAAACATAAGAGTGCATACCTATATTGATCATAAATCCAGAAGAGGATGTCATACATCGTTTCCCGACATTTTGGAGCAGAATGATAGGCAAAGGCACCAATGCCTGGCATGAAGTACAAGAGTTCCTGGGCACTGAGGCGAGGCATAACAGCATTCACCAACTGAAGAGAGACGAGCTGAGTTGCTGGTTCTCTGGAAATAAAACACAGTACAGGGTAGCTACAAAAAGCTTGGAACTGCTTACTTGAAAAAAAAAAACAGACTTCATGACTAAAGTAACCATTTAAATTTTACAAATTAAAGCTGAAAAAAGTTTAGTGATTATACAGTAAATTCTGATAATAAAGAAAAATAATGTACTTGATAAAATTTTCAAAGATGTTGATATTAAATATTTCTGCTAAAACACAAGAGCTTACTTATTTGATAGAGTATTGAGAAGATTCTGTTCCTTAAGATGAGTGAAGACATCGTCCATTGTAGATGAATGAGATACTAAGCATTCCAAGATCCGAGTACGGTGAATTCCATAAAGTTTTGGCATGAGGTTCAGGAGTTTGTTGAGAAACCTGAAAATAATAATAAACTTTGAATGAAATAGAACCAACTCATTATAAACAAATTTCTCTGGCTCCATAGCAAACTCACTCATACAGTATTTATCAAACATTCACCTAATTCATGAGTTAGATTCACCTATTTGATTTGAATCCCTAACCATATTTAGAGTCAAAGAGTAAAAGCGGAGTTTACATGCCTCTGTTTAGCCAGTAGGTTGTACAACACTTGGCAATTACAAATAAAGAATTCTTAAGTGTCTCCTTTGACCACAACACACAACTGCCCTCAGAGCAGTTGAGAGCATCACTATCTCAGTAACAAATGTAAGACAGTAGTCCATAGGAGAAACAGAGAAGGTAAAATGAAGAGAAAAAGGAGGCGGCCTGGTCCTCGACCAGGCCTCCACCCCCAGGAAGCAGCCTGTGACAGCTGACTAACTCCCAGGTACCTATATTACTGCTAGGTAACAGGGGCATAGGGTGAAAGAAACTCTGCCCATTGTTTCTCGCCGGCGCCTGGGATCGAACCCAGGACTGCAGGATCACGTGTCCAGCATGCTGTCCGCTCGGCCGACCGGCTCGACCCTGTTCGATCTCTAAAAACCTGGCGCCTGAATGTCAGCTCAAGACATGTTACCGAAAACGCAGCCGAATTTCGAACGTATTGGGTGTGGGGATAAACCGCAGGGGCTGACTAGACCGAATAACCCTGTAGACGAACTGGGAGACCTGAACCCGGGAACATCGAAGAAGGGAAACCGGGTCAACCCAAAGCCCGTCTCCGGTCACTGAGGCCGTGGCGTGAAAATAATGGCGCAAAGCTGCAACCGGACACAACACATGTTGCTCCCCCAGACTAACCAACCAAGCATCAACAACCCATGGGGCCCCTCCAGAAAGCAGCAGTGTCATTCTTCGTCAGAAAAGGAAACGGCTGTAGCCGAACAAATCGATCACGTAACCCAAAAGAACAGAAACCCTTGCACCGGAGGAGTGCATGAAGCTCCCCGACCCGACCCCCAGAGGCCAAGGCCAACAGGAAAAAGAGCCTTTGACAAACAATCTGGAACCGAAGGGGCCACCACAAACTGAGGGGAAGAAAGAAAGGAGAGCACCCGATCCAAGGACCAGGACAGCTCAGGCAACACATGAGCAGGCCAGAGGTCAAACAACGCATGAGACAGATTACGTAATGGTGCCGAAGTAATATCAATCCCGAGCGCCAGCTGTAGCGGCTCCTCCAACGCTGCACAATACGAGGCGACAGTATTCGGCAAAAGATGATGGTCCCGAAACAAAAACGAAAGAAAGGACAAGACAACCCAAACAAAAATAGAAGTAACACAACGAAGGGTCAGAAAGAACCTGAAAGACTGCCAAGAAACTGCATACTGTCGTCGAGACGATGCTTGCAGATGGGACACCATCAAAGAAGCCACCTGGTCACCAAATAAATGGTGATAGACTCGAGTCAAAAAGACCAGATGCGAAGACTCGAGGAGAAGATCGAACCAGCCTCGCAACGGACTGGACCAATCTGCTGAAAGAGGAGGAGCTGCGGAAAACTCTCCGGGTTCGGACACCCTGCAAATAGCGCCTGAAACGAAAGCTGTGCCGGCTTCCAAGGAGCCAGGAGGACTACTCTCATTTGGTAAGTCTCCAAGCGAGCTAGGACCTGGAGCAACAGCGGAACCGGAGAAAAGAGGTATATGTAACCTCACCTCAACCAGTCCTGCCTGAAGGACGACAGCCTCGCAATTGGGAAAGGGCGCCACATAAAACAGAAGGCACCTTGACCAAGCCGATGCAGAGGTCCACTTCTAGGAGCCCGAACGTCTGGCAGAGCCAACGGAACGAGTTGGCATCGACCGTCCATTCAGTGGGCAGGGGAATGAACTTAGACAGGCTGTCCGCCAGGACATTGGACAATCCCTGAATGTGAACAGCCAGGAGAGCCAAACCCCGAGAACTCAGCAGACGAGTCACCCGATACGACCAGCCCCAAAGAGCCAAGGACCACAGAGAACCCCATCCCCCTCAGTTCAGGCAATTAACCACCGGAGAGCAGTCCGAATGGAGACGAATCGTTGATCCGTGAGCGACCCGAACCCTCCGGAGCGACAACCACATCGCCGTGAACTCCCGCACAGTACTGTGAACTCGACGGAAGGACGAACTCCACCGCCCCTGTCTGGACTGGTGAGCACTGGTCACAAAACCACAGCCAAGAGACGACGCGTCCATGAACACATCGAGCTAGGGCTCGGGAAGGCGCCAGGCCACCGAACCCCAAAAAACTCGAGGAGGACGGAGCCACACCCGACCCGGTGGGTATACCAACACAGCAAAGTTCAAGCTCCTGCACAGACCCTCAAGCAACCAGCAGTAGGCCTGGGAGCCCCCCAGAAACAGGTGACGGCGGGACCGCAGGTGAAGGAGGGGCTCCGAGGGAGAGACAAGGAAGCGGTCTGAGAATTCCATACAAAACCCAGCCAAGACCAAACCTGAGAGGGAACCAGATGGGACTTCCGCCAGTTCAAAAAGAACCCGAACCCAGCTAGCTGGGAAAGAACCTTATCCCTGGCTAGCAGACACACGGACCGACTGGGAGCCCACACCAGCCAGTCGTCGAGATAGGCAAGGACCCGAACCCCTAACAGATGCAACCAAGCCACCACAACCCAGATGAGGAGTGTAAACTCGCGAAGTGCCAGATTCAAGCCAAATGGGAGGCAATGAAAGCGGTACCCTTGACATCCACAGCAAAACCGAGCCAATCCCTGAACCCTGGATGAATTGGGATGTGCTAATACGCGTCCTTGAGGTCCAGGGACACCATCCAAGCACCTGACTCCAAGAGAAGCTGGACCTCGAACAGAGTAGTCATCCAAAAGGAAGGGCAAGAGACCCAGGGGTTCAGATGGGACAAGTCCAGAATAAGCTCCAGATCCGCACAGTCCCGTTTTGGGACTGGAAACAGGCAGGAAACTCACCGGAGAGATGATGTCGTTTCGACCACACCCAAGCGCACCCACTCTGAGATGACCCGACAGATAGAGAGACGACCCGACAATAGAGAGAGGGGGAGTGAAGAATAAGGAGAGGGGGAAAAAGTTCCTGAAGATTGCATACACCAACATAGATGGAGTGAGATCGAAGATACTGGAGTTAAGTGATGTAATACAGCTGCAGACACCAGACATTGTTGCACTCACGGAGACAAAACTTGAAGATGTAATTTTAAATGAGGTCATATTCCCAAGGGGCTACTCAATTTGGAGACGGGACAGAAAAATTAGGAAAGGCGGTGGCGTTGCTGTGCTGGTAAAAGATCACCTAAAGGTGAACGAAATAATGACTGCCAATCCACAAGAAGTTGACATAATAGCACTAGAGATCTGCCATGAGGATGATAAACTAATGATAATAAATGCATATAGTCCACCGCCAATCAGCACATGGTCAAAGGAGGAGCTAGATAGTAAACATGAAGGTCTTATTACAATAATGAGAGAGATTATAGCGAGAGCGGATAACGATAGATCACGACTGTTGATAGTCGGTGACTTCAACTTGAAATCCATAGACTGGGAAGCATATGAAGCTAAAACAGAAGATTTTTGGACCTGTAAATTTGTAGACCTCATCCTGGAAACATTCTTGTATCAACATGTTAAACAAGCTACGAGGATGAGGGAAGGGGACGTTCCCTCCATGCTAGATTTGATATTTACCAGGAAGGAGGAAGAGATATTTGACATTCAGTACCTTCCTCCCTTGGGTAAAAGTGACCATGTCTTTTTGGGAATAAAGTATGCAATGCGTTATAAGCTGGAAGAAAATAAGGAGGTTGAAGCAGTTGAAAAACCAGACTTGAGGAGAGGACATTATGGTGACCTTAATGTAAACCGGCCGACCGGCTCCCCACCTATGGTGGCGAGCCGGTCGGCCGAGCGGACAGCACGCTGGATTTGTGATCCTGTGGTCCTGGGTTCGATCCCAGGCGCCGGCGAGAAACAATGGGCAGAGTTTCTTTCACCCTATGCCCCTGTTACCTAGCAGTAAAATAGGTACCTGGGTGTTAGTCAGCTGTCACTGGCTGCTTCCTGGGGGTGGAGGCCTGGTCGAGGACCGGGCCGCGGGGACACTAAAAAGCCCCGAAATCATCTCAAGATAACCTCAAGATAACCTTAGAAATTTTTTTAGTGAGTATAATTGGACAGACTTGATGCTAGGCAAGGAAGTGAATGAGACGTATGTCAAGTTTTGTGAAATATATGATAAAGGCACAAAAAAATTATACCAAAACAGAGATGCAGAACTAGGAAACAGGATTGGTTCAATAGAAAATGCGAGAGGGCTAGAGACCAAAAGACACAAAAATGGAATCAATACAGGAAGAGGCCGAACCCCCAAACATACCAGCGATACAAAGATGCGAGAAACAACTACACGGCAGTGAGGAGAGAGGCAGAAAGAAATTTTGAAAAAGGGATTGCAGACAAATGTAAAACAGAACCAGGTCTATTCTATAAATTCATAAACAACAAATTGCAGGTAAAGGATAATATTCAGAGGGTGAAAATGGGAAATAGATTCATGGAAAATGAAAAGGAAATGTGTGAAACACTAAACGAAAAGTTCCAAAGTGTGTTTGTACAAAATGAAATCTTTGGGGAACCAGATACAATAAGAATTCCAGAGAACAACATAGAGCACATAGAGGTGTCTAGAGACGAAGTGGAAAAAATGCTCAAGGAGCTCGGTAAGAACAAAGCAGCTGGCCCAAATGGCGTTTCACCATGGGTTCTGAGAGAATGTGCATCTGAGCTCAGCATTCCACTTCACCTGATCTTTCAGGCATCTCTGTGTACAGGAATCGTAGCAGACGTGTGGAAACAGGCTAACATAGTTCCAATTTACAAAAGTGGCAGCAGGGAAGACCCCCTCAATTATAGACCTGTATCATTGACAAATGGAATAGTGAAAGTATTGGAAAAACTAATCAA